ACGTTAATGAACCATTTCTTTAATTTAAGCCTACGTATATCTGAAAGTAAACATCGTGATAACAAAGCACAAAACAATATGCCTGTACTAATTGAAAGCTTTAAAATATCATTTTAATGTATATAAATAAAACTAAAATCTAATCTGAATTTAATGCATAATTTGTTCATAAACTCGAAAATAAACACTTTGAATTAGGAACTTAAAATATTCTGGCAAATTTGTCATGATTTGCAGCCATGGTAAGCAGTAGATTTTCGAAATATTTTATTCGTTTTGTTTTATTTTTATTTTTTTAAATTCTCTAATTCAAATTTAAAGTTTGATACGAAATTATCATTATTCTACCAGCGCAACCGATACAAAGTATTTATCAAAAGACACTAGTTTACATATGTCTCTAGTTGAATAACTAGAGCCAACGGGGCGGCCCTTACGTTAGAATTCTTCATACTTGGCTAAAACTAAATTCTAAAACTCACTCATGGCAACAGAATAATATTGAAGTTTCAGGACTCTTAAAATCAGATTTGAATTGTCCGGAATTCATTTTGGGAGCCTTTTCAGCTACTGAGCTGACTGGCGTTATAACGACCCTATTGAAGAGAACATTTTACGTGGAGTATATTGATTTCACAGGCGAATTGATATAGTATATCAAAACTTCATTGTCATATATTGCAAGGTATTAGGCGTAATAGCGACGATGTCACTTGGAGACACTGACGAAAACAAAGCTTTAATGCAAAAACAACCACTGAGTTAGAAATTACTCGTTTATGCTGGGTAGCTGAAGATAATCGGAGAGATAAACAGTTGAAATCATTTCTGTCAATTGTCTTTCGGATGAGCAAAGACATACTGTTATGGTCGCCTCCTTTCACGACGTCTGCTTTTATTCACTTGCACGTGTAGTCTATTGGTAGCAGAAGAGAAAACTAGCAATTCTTATTTTCAATCGACTCCGACAAGTCTCAACCAGCATCTCTCTCTTATATATATATATATATATATATATATATATATATATATACGTGTGTGTGTGTGAGTTAGAATTGGATCAAATATATATTAGAATCTGACAGAATGATAAGATAAGGAACAAATAGGAACCATTTATAAATTTAACATTAAGTTTCGCTTAAATAAAAGCGGAACATGTACACACACACACACACACACATATATATATATATATATATATATATATATAAGAAAAAAGAAGAGAGATGCAACATATTTATACTTGATCATTAATTAGTAATATATTTAGTTGTAAAAAAAATACCGTATAGTCTATTAGCTAGTAGGGGGAATGATACTTTAAACCCGTAGGAGTAAAATCTAAATATTAAAAATATGACTTACTCCTATTTAAATGACCCTTTTACAAAATCTTTATGTATGAAAATATGAATTAAATGGATAAATAAAAATGCCCCAAATTTTTTGTCATTGAAAATCCATACGACACGTTGAATAACGGATGTCTGTTTGTGAGCAGGTATCCCGACCTAAACTTAACCTGACTTTGTACGTAACATATATTTGATACATACGTTGTCTAGGAAATTAAATCTTAACCACCCCTAATCAAAATTGACTGAATTTTCCTTAACCTTAACAACTCAAAATATTAAGATTGTCTGCGCTTATAAATCAAGGAAATTTCTTAGAATGTTATTCCTAACATCGCTTGACAATGGAATGAATCTCTGGATTTTAAGTTTAATTTTTATAATTAAATTTACAACTTTAGTTTGAGTTTTGAAACATAGAAATTTCTGTGTCGCGATGGAATCATATTTTTAAAAAATAAAATAATTACACACACACACACACACACACATATATATATATATATATATATATATATATATATATATATATATATATATATATTCCTAGAAATGCTACCTGGAAAAAAGTGTTCAGCCTTCTGTGCTGTAAACAGGTTAATAGGAGTAGATAGGTTCGCCTATCGCCCAGCTCGTACTCTAATTTTTATTGAGGTTTATCCTTTTTTTTTACTGGTTCCTTTCTTCCAGGATTTTTATGATCTAACGATCTTAATATCGGAGTATTTTCAGTGCCATATCGCGCATGAATAGATGTCACAGTATGTATTTCCGGAGGGGGGGCAAACCTGAGGCTACATTATGCTTTAGTCTTAGCTACCTTCTGTTTTTTTATTGACATCGACTATGTACAGTGTTAATTATTTTAGCCTTTTCCTCCATAAAATCCAAAAAATACTAGTAAACCAGTAAATAAAATCACTTACACACTCAAAATTTATTTCTCTAATATTTGTAGTATTCGTACCAATTTTTGTAGTGTAGACAAGTTTTCTCTTGAAACATTGTCCGGGTATCTTAGCGATTTGCGAAATTAGTTTAAATTCTATCTCTACCAATGAATTCTCTGTCCCAGCCTACCGTCTAAAAGCTTATAAGTCACATATAAACTGCTTTGGTGTTTTCATACGGGAAAATCTGCAAATAGCAAGGGAATCGTCTCCTGAGTTCCCGGATGATGCTTACATGTGCCTTCGTCTTTATTGCATTCTGTGAACTATCTCTTTCTCTTTTATTGATCCCCTTCTTCACAGGACTGTAACAAAATAAAATTCTGACAGCATAGAAATGTCCTGTCTTTCTCTCTCCTTTCCTCCCTCTCTCTGCGAGCATCTTTGTGTTTGGTGGTTTTGATCTTCATCAAGTCAAGTGACTTAATCATAATGTTACTGAATGTTACCGGTATTCCGATTTTCAATTTGTTTCGTTACTAAATCTCTCAGTGAAATAATGGATTACCCTCTCCGCTTCCCTAATACTTCTGATAAACTTCTTTACTTTTATTTGTTCCTTGCTTCTTGGCACTTCTTGAGCCTCTCAACTCTGTCCTCTTGGCAATATCTGTTGATATTTCTTTTGTGTTTTCTATTAGACATGAATCTCCTATTCACAAGACTTCTGTCTGTTACCAGCAGACTGATTGAGATTCATTTCCTGATTTTCTTTACGACGCCCCTTAGAGTGAAAGTTTTAACATTTCTGTAGAGAATTGTGCCATTGGGGTTTCTTTTGGGGTTAAAGCAGGCATCCATTCTTTTAAGCCTTCTCAGAAATACGAGACAAAACGACAACCTTGAAGCCAGTATGGAAGCGTTCACGACAACACTAAATAAGGAATTCCACTTGTCTATCACCCTCAGGGGTAAGAAGTTCGATTCAACTTGCGTGAGTGACCACGCATCCTCCTGTTTAAGAAGGTGAGGTACTACCATTTTATAATAGCCATACAGTATTTTATGTATTTCACACAGATTGGCGAAGTGTCGTTTTGACTGAAGGGGTTGTTGCCTGATTTCATATATAGATAGACTGATGTTCTGGACTAATTGCAATAAGTCAATTTTTTTTTTTTTTGTAGGTTGAGTTCTCTATCATTTTTGAACTCAGATTAGTAAAACAATGATTGATCATACCTATTCTTTGATTAGTCATTCTACGATTTCAGAAATATACGATCTTAGATATAAATCACGTAAAACTAGAATACTCAAGTCTCTTTGTTCTCTTACATGATTAAGGTAAACTCCACCTAGTGTAGAATTGTATTCCAACTTGTATCTGATCTTCACCACAACACAATTCCTAACATTGAATGTCAGATGCCATAATGAAATCCAGCTCAAAAGTGAACTTAAATCATCTTAAAAAAACGATCAGTATTCTTTGGCGTTGATGGAATGATATAGGTTAGTGCCATCAGCAAATAATTTAGCAGTGGATTTGATCAAATCATGGATGTCGTTTACATAGATCAAAAACAAGATTAGTCCCAAAATGGATACTTGTGGGACACTACTAGTAAATTTCTGCCAAGAAAATAAACCATCTTGCAGAACAAACCTTTGTCTTCGTGAAAGGAGGAATGATGTGATTCATCTTTGCCACAAAAAACACACTTGCTTCAAGTTTAATGAGCCTTTTTGATGAAGCACTGTATCATAAGCTTTGGCAAAGTCTAAGTTGGTCGCATCAATTTCCATAGAGTTTTTCTAGTTCTCAGTTCAGTCATTGAAACATTCTAACAATTGGCTAACGCACTACATTTGTACTGAAAGTCATGTTGGTAGTAATTTATAGTTCAGTTTATATTCATAAGATGTACAGTTTTATCATGGATGATTCGTTCAAACGGTTTGACAACTTATGAGTAGTTGCCTTTGTTGTCTCGAGATCCCTTCTTGTATATGGGGGGATATGTTAGCGAAACACCAGTCTCGAAGGGTGGTTCATGTTTGGATCGATTGTTTGAACAGAATACACAAGATAAACATCAAAGTTTGGATACAGATGTAATACATTTACTTTGATTGAATCCGAGTCTGATGTCTTGCTAACTTTCACTTTAAAAGTTTAGTCCTAACGGTGGATGTGTCAATCTTGATGTCACGAACAGTGTGTTCTACATTTAAACTAGGCTGAGGAAATCTTGTTTCGTTTATAGAAAGTTCCCTTGTTAAAACATATAGGCAGAAAGAGTTCAACAGCTCAGCCTTTGCATGATCGTAAGTGACTTTTTCATTGTTTTCCATAAAATAGTCGATTGTTGTCCACAAGTTTATCTTCATAGTGAGGCTTGGCGTCAGCAATGGCTTTGACCATATGATAGGAGTGTTAACAGAGAATCGGATCAGCTTTTAAACCACTCACTTCAGCTTGTATCTTAAATTGTCTTCTTGTTCTTTTCGCTCACTCTATTGATTTGTATCTGACCTAAGGAACGTTGTCTTTGACTGAGTTTGATTTTTTTTTTTTTTTTATTGATTTGCCTTTTACGGCTAGAAGATATTTTTAGATTGTAAATTAGTTTCTAGATAATAATGGTTTAACTATGCAAGTTTTACTAATTAACCAACACCTGGGGTGGGGGAAGAGGCGGATTCATACTTTTTTCCAAGGGTATTTCCGTATAAATGAATATAACGAACCCATGGTATTCCCAAGCGGTCACCCATCTAGGTACTGACCAGCCTCGGCGTTGCTTAACTTCGGTGAATTTACGGGAACCGGTGTTTCAACTTGATATGGCCATAAGCCCATTAGAACCTGTACGCAGATTTACTTTCGTTGATCTACCGATCAAATCACTTTTCGCCTTGACTCAAACTTGATTCAAACATTTATAAAAGATGTACTGGGATTTGATGGTAGGTCATTGAAGGTTCAGCGAATTATTGATAAAAACCCGGTGTTTCAACGTGAAGTGGTCGTAAGCTTTGATTGCGCTTGATGTACTTTTAATAGGTATATATCTAACAAAGTTTCATATATTCATTTGAATCTGTTCCAATTAGGCTCATATGATTACTGCATTGCAAGGCATCACATACTATATTGGCTAGTTCTTGGTTGAAACTGTCATAATTCCCTATGCTGTACAAATAAAATTTGTGGTTTATTGATCTTGAGCCGAGATCAATTAATAGTCAAATGAACCGTTTTGTGATCACTTGAACCAAATGAGTGTTTGACATCTATCTATTATTGATAAATTGTCGGCCAAATCCAGAATTGTTCTACCTCTAGTTGGTTCGTTAAAAACCCGCACAAGTGTGTTGTCCCTGAACTTATCTACGAACATTTCATCAGTTTCAATACCAATTGATTTCTCTGAAGTTGAAGATACTAAGAAGAAGCGCGTTTGCAGAGGAAACAATTTCTTGAGCCATTTTTGGTCTATAACCAGCAGCTATGATCCAACAAAACTAGATTGTCACTCATAAGATTTCATCGTTGACATCAACTTTCATCTTGCTATTAGGATTTAGGGTAACTTTATCAATCAGAATTACTCCACTTCTGCAAGGGTTGATATAAATACCATTCGGATATTTACGATAGCTTTTATAGTTTAGTAGACAAAAACTCCTTGTCATCAGTATGTCTATCAAGACAGATTTCGGCAAGGATCTCTGTCATTCAAAATGTACTTCAGATATCTAAATTTTGGATCCAAACCTTGAGTATTGAAGTCGTGTGTTTCCATTGATACACATTCGTAGTTCTTCCTAATTACAACAGCTCTTGGAGAAGGTAACAATAAAGTCTTTATAACAATCTTTTAAAAGAGTTTTTCACCCGTCGTAAGGAAAGTCCGGTATTTTTGCTTTCAGCTCAGTTCTTAATTTTAGATCTGCTTCACATTCCATTTTTGTTCTGTCACGTATACTGAAAACCAACTCTTGGTTTATTCCTTAATGGCAATGTATTCTTTATTTCTGATCTTGCTAGCATATATCAACAGTTTATTCTTGCTCTCAATATCTTGAATTTTGACTTGTACAGGACGATGATATTGTTTTGTAGAAAGACTAATTAAACCTTCTCTACACGTATTATTGAAACATAAACTCGTTCATCCGCTATTAGCAGAATGTTTCCTCATGAAACATTGGGGGAGGGCAAAGGCTAAGTGCTTTCTAGTCGTACTGAACTAGTGTATTCTAAATCTATGTTCTCATGTGATTAAATCCTCATTTACTCAACCTTCTGTTTCCAGTGTTTTCCTTAGTCTTACTAACCAGCAACTATAAGCGTTATATGAACTTTATAACAGATATGTTCCTTGTCGTTTCTGCTGCTGTTAGCCTTGCTGTTTAATTCGCAGATACAACTACTGAGTTGTTACCATTAATTTATAGAATACTCTGATTATTCTCGATCTGTCTCTAAGACTAAGTTTTCCTGGGTATGACGATGAATTACATCCGGCAGCAAGGACTCTGATCGGGAGGTTAATTGCTGTTGTTTCCAGGTTCACCCTGACCCGAGGTGGTAGCACCTGTTAGAGTTACGGCTATGGGCAAATAGTTACTCCCCCACCAAACTTAGGTCAAAAGATTATTAAAGTATAAAAATACATTTTTATAATAGAAAATTCTAGCAATACATTTTCATATTAAAAATAAAATTACCAGAAATACATTTTGAAAAAAAATAAAATTATCAGAAATACATTTTTGTAAAAAAAAAAAAATATTAATTCTCCCCAGAAAATGACATTTAGGCATGAAATGACCTATAAGATGATATGCCACTAAACGTACAAATAAAATGTACAACCAAGGTCAATAGACACCATTTTGACAATCTCATTTTGACACCCATGGTCGATAAAATCGATTCAAGTAATGCTTTATCGAACCCTTCAAGCTCTGGTAGTATTCTTGTGACTATATTCAGCTTCTGTTTCTTTCTTTTCTTCATAATTCGTGCGGAAGAATTCTAATTGCTTGCGTTTCGAAGAAAAATTAACGTACCTATCTTGGTATCTGAAACATTGATTAGCTAGCCACCCTGTCAAATGGGTGTGCTCGGAAAAATATAGTTATTACTAAGCATAGTCTAGCATGAGGTCATATGAATGAGGTGACAAAGAAAGATCAAACTACATTAGTTTTATTAAACATTGCTCGATCCTGTTGACATAGAGTATTGAAATAAACTGAAGCTTTGCGAGTGATGTCGAGTCACTTCAATTTAACTCTCGAACTGGTATGAAACAGATGCAAGCACCAACGAATAGATGCGCGAATCCAGACATGGCTTTACTGTTTCTAACAGGGATTCATGAGTATTTGCATCAAAGGAAGAAAAGTATGGAATCAATATGATTTTAACTGTAAACCCATTAAAGTCAAATTTAAAATTATTAGAACTTTTTTTTTTATTTATTTATTTATTTTTTTTTTGCTGCTAAGAAACGAAATCGATCGAATGTCTCTTAATGTATAATAAAAGTATTCTTAATGTTAGACATTCATTTTTTTATTTATAACTCTTATTTCTTTTTACTTTTTGTCGACATTTTTTTTTTTTTACATTAAAGAAGTTAAATATTTTCAAAACGGTACAGCTAGAGAATCTTGCGAATAAGTAACTAACAAATATCTCGTCGCACATTCGTGCATGTATATCTATTTTTGATAAAAAGATGGCAAAGAAATGTATATGTAACCTATTTAGCTAACAGAAAAGTGTGGTACTTTGTTTCGTTTAAAAGGAAAATGTCTTCTGCAGCATAATGCGTAACTGAGACCGAATAAGTAAGCAGGAGGAGAATAAGTTGCGGTGTGAGTTGTTGTTGTGGGTTTTTTTTTTATTGTTTCTTTTTTACATTATTTACATTATTCGGACTATTGTCGCCATATTTATTACAACATTTCGGCCGTTGTACGCTCCGGCCTTCTTCAGTCAAACTGAACCCTTTATTTCGTTCACTGGGGTAGACTGTTCTAGTTCCATATGCCATATTTAATGAATGTCAGTTATCAGTTATCTCCTGTTAATTTCCCTCTGAAAGTTCTCTACTGCCTTAACCAGATATTGAACTCACACTTTTTGGGTCCTGTCACTGGATCTAACCAACGCCTTTATCCACTGTGCCATGTGTCCTTGAGTTTCTTTTTCGTTTATCGAAATAAATTCACCCGGGACATCTTCATTACAACCACACCTTTTATTGAATAGTCAGGAAATGTCCCCTCATCAGTAACTTTAATTTTCGAGCATTCTTAGACAAAGCGTTTCATTACAAGAAATATATTTTAAGAATATAAAAAATCCACCTATTTTATTCAAACAGCTCCATTTATTTGAAATGTAATTAATACTTTATAATCCTCTCCGCATACAGGCACAAAACACAATGGTGAAATACACTTCACCAGTGTGTTTGGGTGGTCTGAAAATATTGTCAACCCCTACCTCTTCTCCAAACTATAGGAGCTCGTGTACGTCATCTGAAATAGAAAATTATATTATGTAGTGGTGACAAGATTTTCGGACCACCCTTCACAGTATATTCCATAGGTAAACTTATGTATGTTTATTCTTTTGGAAGATATTATATATTGTTGGTGAGGGTTGTGCGTGAAGAGGCAGGGTGTTTTTTTTTTTGTTTCCCCTACTCACTAATAGTTTCCGAAATTATCAAACGACAAGACCTTTACCCGAAGGTGAGAAGATCTAAGAGGTTATCTCGAGAATTTTATTTCACGTTTTAATGAGTTTTGCGAAGAGTTGAACATGATTTCTAGGGTCAACCCATAAAGAATTGCATGATGTTTTTTCCAAGTCAGTAAATTTTTATTTCCCGGATTCGGCGCGGCTGGGGGTGGGGGAGGTGGCGTGCGAGGAAACAGAATGAGGGGGGGGAGGTTGTGTTGCGTAATGAAGGCTGTGCAAGTTCTCGGCTATGGTAGCTGTCGTTGGCGTTGCCATGGGAACGCTGATGGAAAAGGTGAACTGGCTCTTGGTTTTAACACAGGTCTAGAGTGTTTAGTGTCGGTAAAGAGATTGTTAGAGGCGGTGGGGCCGGAGTTGGTTGGCGAGCAGGGTTTGCTAGTTGGGGTTTGGGGTTCGTGCTCGCTTCTCACTTGATTGAAACTGAATGAGTTCGGGAGCCAGGTGGTATGAGTGACGTTGAAGTATCCAATGCCAGTGACGAAGGATTGATTATTTCAATATAAGAGGAGGCGTATACTTGTCAAGAAGTTGATGTGCTTGAAAGGGATTTAAGGAAGCTGATAGAATAGACCGTGGCGAGGAAATGGTACCTGCATTTTAGAAGGTGGAATCTCCAGGTTAGAGCGTCCGAATGGCGGCTGTTTCTGATTATACAGATGTAAATACACCTTTCTACTTGAAAATCGGAAATTGTTGTGAAGGTGTTTGGGTTAATTCAGTGAGTTCTGGTTGCTAATTTTGAGCTTATTTCGATTCAGAAAGTGTCGGTCATGCCCTTGAAAGAACATCATAGGAAATAGTTCTTCTCTCTTCTAAGCTAACGCAATGAATTTTAAATACAAAGAGAAAACTGCGAAACAGATTTAATACAACTTAGCTTGTCTGAATTTCTGGGATGATGAGTGAACATTATTTACACGCAGACTATTGTACCCATCTTTGTTGTCGCTGTCACGTTTCGCCCGCTGTGCTCTCCGACCTGCATCAGGCGCTTCTTCATCCGGGTACACTACAGGGACTTTCGAAGTGAACCGGCAGTGGATACCTGGGCTCAGTAGACACGGAGC